TTGGCGGGTCCGGGCTGGGGATTTGAACCCGCCACCTTAGGTGTACGTGGCTGGCACCTTAGCCGGTTGAGCTATAGGCGCCGAGCCTAGATTTTTTTTTTTAAGAGTTAAGCTTATCTGTTTTGCTCCCTTTTCTTACCTCTCTGAGAATTTTAGAATTGTAGTCATGTTTTTCAAAGTAACAGAAAGATAGAAAGGTAATTGTTTTAAAATAAGGTTAGTTTGGCCTTCCTTAATTACCTTTCATCATGCCAACATTTTCTCTCACTGTTCCATACAGTGGGTAGTTAAATTGCATGCCATGATAATTTTAAATGCCAAACCATGTAGCATTTTAAGTTCTTCATCCATTTACACAGCTGGTGGAGGGCATCTAACTTGTTGGTCTGGTCTGTTGCATGCAACTGTCATCTGAGATGTTGACATACTGACTCTCACCAGTTTCATAGTCTTGTCCCCTTTTCATTACATTGGTTGATACATGAGAAATATTGTGGCAGCTCTAAAGATTTGAGTTGATTTCTGGTATGTTATCTGGTATCTTTTGATTCTTAAAATAACTACTGGCATTTTTTTAATCTAATGAGTCAACTCTGGTATGTCATGCCCAAAATCATTTCTTAGCTAAACCCAACATTTTAAGAGCCAGCCACTGGGCTGGGCTGAGCACATGTTATCCTAAACAGTAGTAGATTTATACCTTGTCCTTGTTCCCTAACACTTCTTCCCCAAGAAGTGTGATGCAGTGTTACTGTGATGCCTAATGTTCTATTATTTGTTTAGTTTCACGATAAAATTGAGCCCATGTTGGAGACTCTGGAGAATCTTTCCTCTCGCCTGTGTATGCCACCACTGATACCTGCTGAAGTAGACAAGATCAGAGAGTGCATCAGTGATAATAAGAGTGCCACCATGGAGCTAGAAAAACTGCAGCCGTCCTTTGAGGCTCTGAAGCGCCGTGGAGAAGAGCTCATTGGGCGATCTCAGGGAGCAGACAAGGATCTGGCCGCAAAAGGTAACTTGATGGGTTTAATTATTTTCAATGAAAATTGGTGGAATAAATCCTAGGCCATGATTTTTCTCCAGCATCCCCTCAGATATATTTATTTCATTGAGTATAAAGGCAGTTCCCAAGTAATGAGTATTCCAGAAAGTCACTTGGAAGTCATTTAGAATTCAGAACACATTTTCCCTTTGAAATAAGGTTACAATTGGTAGTTAGATTCCCAGGCCAGGAAACAAATGCTCCTTTAACCCCTAATGTGAGTAAACTGCAGTATCAATAGTGGGTAGAACATAACTACCTTTTGTAACACTTTCCATGGGAAACATACAAGTTCAACCCAGAAGACTACAAATGGAGTTCTCTTTGTACATTAGAGGTTCTGTGTCTTAGCAGTACCTTTATAGTAGTTTATTTTCAGATTACCTCTGTGATCCCTTTATGTTGGAGACCAACATAAGCTGAAAATGCTAAGGTAGAAACAATAAAACTAAGATAGAAAGCATCCTTCTAAATGTTTGTTTGAAAGGGTTAGAATTAGATGGAATTTCTGATGTGACTGATTTAAAGTACTTGGAAAAGTTCTATTCACTTATCTTTTTTGATCTCTTCAGAAATCCAAGATAAATTGGATCAAATGGTATTCTTCTGGGAGGACATTAAAACTAGGGCTGAAGAGCGAGAAATGAAATTCCTCGACGTCCTTGAATTAGCGGAGAAGTTCTGGTATGACATGGCAGCTCTCCTGACCACCATCAGAGACACCCAGGATATTGTCCATGACTTGGAAAGCCCAGGCATTGACCCATCCATCATCAAACAACAGGTTGAAGCTGCTGAGGTAAGAAAAAAACAAAACCTCTTCTCTGTGTGTTTTCCTAAAAAAGCACTTTATCAAAGTATGTTGTTAACTGCTTAACCAGGCTGAGTTCCTCAAAAAATTTTTTAATTTTTTTTTTTTAAGTTAGGACTTTCCACTTGAAAAAAATTGCTTATTATAGTAAATCTAAATTTCTTGAATGTTATAAAATAAACAATAGAAATTGAAAATTATAGACTTTTCATCCAGAGATAACAATTGTAACTTTGACATGATTTTTTGTAGCCTTTTTTGGAATTTTAGTGTTTACTAAGTGAATTCTCACCTCATCTCATCGTTTTAGCACAAGCCAAGCCTATCTTGATATAACCTCTATTGCTTTCTTTTATTCCAACTATTTTTCCATAGGGAAACGTTTCCCATCCGTGTCCCTGTCAATAATGCCAGTCCATGAGCAAATTTTTGAGATATGGCATGAGCTTCTTTAAGATTATATGATTAGGCTCAGCACCTGTCGTTCAAGTGGCAAAGGCACCAGCTACATACACCTAAGGT